GGTCACGAAGTCAACGAACGGCCACATTCAGCCGAGCATCGCTCGGAAGCCAAGAAGCGGCAGCGGGTGGCAACGGGGCGCGCTGAAGGACGGCAGCATTGGGGTATGCACCTGATTTCGGGTTCGCGGCGCATTGCCAATATTGCTGCGAACCCGGGGTTCGGCTCAGTTTGAAATGGGAAAATTACATGCGTTTTGGAAGGCGCACAGCCGTGCAATTCGCCGGCCCAACGGGCCAGAGGCGTGCTAAGATCTCCGGTAACTGGTTAACAATTCTCTAGTTCGCGCGCGCGGGGCGGCCCCTGGGGGTCCCCAGACGAAAAGTACCCCGGGCGGGTCCCGGCTGATCCCCGGGCGACTCCACCAGAGCGCTCCATGAGCGCACCAACAGGGCTCCGAGACGTCCCCGAGAGCCCCAAGAAAGGCCAAGAGGCCCCCAAGAGGCCCCCAAGATGGTACACGAGGGGTCCGACATGCCACAAGATCGCTCCAAGACGCCCAAGATAGCCCCCAGACGCCCCAAGAGGCCTCCAAGAGCACTCCCAAGAGGGCCCCAGGAGGCAAAATTCATTGCTTTTCCTTAGGTTTTTGAAAGATTTTGGAGTTTCCACCTTTTCGGCTTCCCGACGCCCCAAGACGGCCCAAGAGGCCCCCAAGATCGCCCCAAGAGGGCCCAAGAGGCCCCCAAGAGGGCCCCAAGATGGCCCAAGAGGGCTCGAAGACGGCCCAAGAAGCCTCCAAGACGGTCCAAGAGGGCCCCAAGAACGCCCCCAAAGGGGCCCCAGAGAGGGAACACGAAACAACATTTCGAGCCCTCGGCCCTCAGAAGCCCCCACGAGGCCCCAACAGGCCCCAAGAGGCCCCAACGAGGCCCCCAAGAGTCCCCCAAGCGGCCCCAGGAGGACCCCCAAATGCCCCCCCGAGCACGCAAGCAAGTGCAAGCGATGCTACAATGTGCTCTCCTTTCGGTAGACTCCCAACGGGGCCCCTACAGACTTGCAACAAGCGTCAAGAACCTGCCCAAAAAGCACTGTCCAGGAGCGTTCACAAGTGCCGCGAAGAAGCCCCCCTTACGCCGGAAA